TATAATTCCACTGCATTAAGTGAGAAGAGTCCATATAGAAGCAGCATTCCATTGCTGCAAGAAATTAAGATTTTTGGTGGCAAAAGTTGCTTTGTTCTAATTAAAGCACACATTACAATAATTATTCGTGTGACGTCATCAGTTTCCAATCCCGGTTACGTGGTCTATAATATCTATGATCATAGTAACATAGTAGAGCAATGAATAGGTACGAAGGCAATATTATTATTAAAATTCTATTTACGTTGTAGTCTGCCAGTTATCTTTTTCTGCAAAGTAGGGTTTGAAATTTTTGTATTATTTTCATGAATAAATTATTTTTTTATAGATTAAAGTTTATTATTATTAATTGAACTATTAAATATTGTTATGGTTGAACTCAACCCCCTTGTTTCTTTTATTTTTTGACAACCCTACATTTTCTTATTTGATAGAAAATTTGTTATTTACTTGTTTCCATACTTATTATTATATTTTATCAATTAGCAATCCTTTTTTTTTATTATTATTATTTTTGCCTTTGGTACCACTTCATCAATGGAAGAAAAGAGTTTTGAAATAAGAACCATAAGAAGACCTGCATTAAAAACAGTTTTTATAAATCATTATTTTTTAAATTTTTGAATCATTAATTATAATCATAGCCTAGCTCATGATCATTAGTGGTCATTAGTAAGATTTATGTCCAGTTCTGAAACTATTGTTTACATTCAGCTTCAGTTGCAACTTTCCCGCTCACAGTTATCAAACACTTCCACAGTTCAAGTTTGCTTTGCAACATTTTTTTGTGAAAAAGCAGCAAGTCAGTTCGCAGTTCAAACTTACATTACCTATCATTATGTTTTTTGTAGTTTATGGATTATATATGATCAGAATCATGGAGTTCCTTTTCCTCCTCCACTACCACCAGTAGTTGGAGGGCTTCCACCACAACCGCCCGCGGGAGGTCCACCACCACCACCACCAGATGGTGCTAATCTTCCTCCACCAGCACCACCAATTCCTCCACCATCTCCAGTAGCTGAAGGTCCTGCACCAGTTTCTGGTGGTCTTCCACCAGTGGCTGTAGGTCCTCAATCAGTTGCTGGTGGTCCTCTACCTGTGGATGGAGGTCCTCCAGCTATGGCTGGAGGTCCGCTTCCAGTGGCTGGTGGTCCTCTACCCGTAGCTAGAGGTCCTCCACTAATGGCCGGAGGTCCTTCACCAGATGCTGGAGGTGCTCCACCAGTTGCTGGTGGTCCTCCACCAGTGGATGGAGGTACTCCACCTCTGGCTTGAGGTCTGACACTAGTAGCTGTAGGTCCTCCACTGATGGCTGGAATTCCGCCACCAGTGGCTGGAGGTCCACTCCATCCAACTAAAGCTGGAGGCCTTCTTGATGTCGCTGCTCTGCAAAGGAAGAGGCAGCTCATCATTTGGCAGTTACGCCAAGTCAGTAGAAAAATTGTAAGATTATTTAGTTATGATCTGAAGTTTATATATATACCTATGAAGTACCTTTCTATTCCATTGTAATATAGTACAACAATCTTCTGAGAGCCAGACCAAGAGGCAGGAGCAGGAGGAACAGCAACAATGCAACAAAGAACTATAACTTTTATTAGATTATTATACATTTACATGTGTAAAGTTAACTTTTCTTAAATTAAAAGCTTATAATAAAAGTCAAGTATCTTCAAGCGTAAAGCCAAAACAAATTATAATAGCAATGCTTAAAATTAGTGTTTGTTCAACAACACAAATCAATTAAATACTTGTGCTTCAATCTTCCTACAATACAAATACATGTAATATAAATTACTTCATTATAATAACAAGTAAAGAAAATACATACTGTTGCAATAGTTAATCAGGTAATCAATACTAATCGTCCAAAAGAATTATAGCCATGGACCATGGTCTATCACACAAAAATAAAAAACTATAGAATCTCACAATATTCTATCTTACTATGTATTCAATTGCTAAGACTATGACAATATGAAACCTGTGCAGCTGGAACTGGTGCCTCATTCCGTGTGAAAGCACCACTGATCAAAGAGCTACA